GGGTTAAGACGCTCTTTAGTGAGTGATGTCGGCAGATGTGATAATGAGAGGCCAAGCAGAGCAAGTGTTAGCTCATTATTGTCATGAAAAAGATATGGCGGCGTTACATCAGCGAGCGGCGAGAAAAGTGGCAATTAAAAGGAGCCTCGCGAGGTTCCCGCTGCAGGCGAGCGCAGACGAGAGCCGAGCCGAGCGAGCGAGCGAGAGAGAATCCCTCCCAAGAAAGCCCATCTGTTGTCAATAAGCGAGAAAAGAAAGAAAGGAAAGAGGCCTTAATCCGCTTTCTTCACGTCTGCTGCCCTCCGTGCGCTCGCGAGCCACGCAACCCGTCGCCGGCCTGCCGTCAGCTTGCACGTATTTCGGCAAATCGACTCCGGGCCGACTTTGCAAACGATTTACGGGAAAACAAGTGTGAACGATGTCACGCTGAAGGAGTCGTCGTGACGATTTTGAGGGCAAATTTGGTCACGATGTGGACGTTCGTTCTCTCGATTTAGCGACGTATCGGTCGAGAGACCTTTTGCCTTTAATTTGGATTATATTTGTTGCCTAATTGGAATACATTTAGACATATACGGTGGATTATAATAGACATATGTATGGAGTTTGCATGTCCCAATCAAATTCCAGATATTTGTGACACTAAAAATCAGTGAAGATTTTGTCATGACAAAAAAAATTCTAGAAAATTTAATAAAATGAATAAATAAACTTTATTCTCATCAAAGATTTTTTTTCTAATCAATTAAAACAATGTTTGGGGAAAAAATTAATTATTTTTGAGAAAAGAAGATTCTTTTTGGGAGGGGCGGGGCGAGTGGGAGGGATCACTAATTTCTAGAAAAGTAAGATTTTAAGATGTCAAGAAATCACATTTCTTCCATGGACAGAGCATTTTGTTTTTGAGGGCGGGAAAATACAACGTAATTTCTACAACATATGATGAAAAAATATAGAATTAGAAATTCTTTGAAAAAGCACTTTTTTTTTTCTTCAGAAAAATGACCAAAAAAATGTCTAAGAAAACGGAACTTTCAAAAATATTTATAGAGAACAGCACGTCTCTCTTGGGGGGATTTTAGTGGCTCTAGAAAAGCGGAAAAGGCTGACTTTCAAAACAAAACACGATGCTTTTCTTCAGGGAGGTGGGGAAAATTGTGACCTAAAGCATTTTTAATTAAATAAAGCAAGGGGGCATGTTGCCACTTGTGAAAAACTTTTTTTTTCCCCAAAAATGCAGCATAATATCTTGACATCGATATGACTTGAAAAATGTCAAGAAAAGTCCATTTCTTTCTTGAAGACAAAATATTTTCGATACTAGGAAAACACGCTTTTAAATATTTGTAGGGATGACGTTTCTTTTGAAAAATACTTTTTTTTCTTGAAAAAAACCCGACACTCACACCCAGGGACAATTTGGAGTGTTTCATGAACCTGCCATGCATGTTATTGGAATGTGGGAGGAAACCGGAGTACCCGGAGAAAAACCACACAGGTTCGGTGAGAACATGCAAACTCCACACAGGAAGGCCGGAGCTGGAATCGAACTCACGACCTCTGCACTGCTAACCACTCGACCACTGTGCCGCCCTCTAGAAAATTATGTCATCCAAAAAATATCTTGGAAAATTGCATTTCTTTCTTAGGGGTTGGCGGGGGTGGAGGGGCGGGGGGGCTCTCGAAGAGAAACAACATCATTGATTGAAAAATATGATTTATGAAATGTTGAGCAATCTGCTTACTTTTTAAATTAAAAATATCATTTGGAGATATAGCTTTTTTTCTAGAAAAAAAATGTAGTATTTTTTTTTTCTTGTCTGTCGAGAAAAATACAAGTTTTACGCAGTTTTGGGAAAACTTGACCTCAAGATCCACAGTGGACAGAAAGTCTCCACACATCTCTGTTCACTAACCATCTTTTGGTCCCACAAATTGAAAAAGAAAAAAAAAACCTCATGACGACCTTTGACCTCTCCTGAACCGGAAAAAATAAATCTTTTCAAGATGAGAACTCAAATTCAAACAACTGTGATTCATGGGGTTGCATAAGTGTGCACACCCTCTTGGGAGTGGTTTAGGATTGCGTTCCGACCGAACCAATCCACATTCAGCTCCTGTTCAACGGCAGCCCGCACACACCTGCCGCCTTTTCATGTTTCACTTTAGCTCTTCGAGTCTGTGATCCATTTGATATTTGATCTGATCCTTTCATCCGCTTTATTTATTATTGATTTCAATACTTCATAACCGCCAACAAGTTTTCTATTTGTCATAGGCTTCTTGTAGATATGACACTCATATTGGACCTGCCCCCCCCCCAAGTAATTTTAAAGCTTCAGTGTATTTACATTCATCGCTCAAAGAGGACAAAAAAAAATCAAAAATCAGAGTTCACAAATAACGTGTAAGGATCTGAGGGATAATGTTGAAAATATGGACTGCACAGAGTGTTTCCCGTGTGAAAAGCTCAACCTGCCAGTCAGCTTCACGCTGTCACTTTCGCTCACGCTCAAGTGTGACCCACTTTAAACAAGTCGCTGCTGCCCCTTTTTTTTTTTTGCTGCTTTGTTTGCGCCACCATTTTAAAGCAAAAAAAAACCAAAACACACGCACATCAACTAATTCCTCAGAAAAATCATTGACATCTAATATTTCTTTTTTTTTAAGGCGTCTGCCTTAATGGATGAGCAGGTCTCGACGCCGCCACATTAATTCTGTTTGGCTCGCAGGCTGTTAATCAAGCGCGCGCACGAACACACATACACAAACACAGACACACACATTTACACAGACGCCCCTTCTCCATCCACCCGCGGAGACCAATAAATAAATCATAACGGCGCAGAAGTCATGCATATGAGCAACGCGCTGCTGCCGCAAGATCTGCGCCATGCAAAATGGCCAAATTTGCGCGTCTTCGTTTGGAAAAGTGATCTCGATGAGAAATCGTCGCATTCCTACGATTCCAGCTGCATTTTGTTTTCGTCCACGTTTCAAAGAGCAAACAATACTGCATGTTGTTGTTAATTTTTTTTTTTTTGGTGCACTACATGTCTCAAACAAAATGCAAATTACGTCAACAAGTGGTTTACAACCTCCTCGAAAAAAATATATATATATATATATATATATCTGCGAGAGTGTGTGTGTGTGTGTGTGTGTGTGTGCATACACGCATTCGTGCATATATAAGGTGACAAACCTGTGGTTTGCGGGCCATACGTGGACATAAATCAATTCCTTCACACAGTTGTAATAAAATAAGTACGTAACCCGTCAAAGGAATGCTGAAATGATCAATTGGATCAATACAAATATTATTATTATTATTATTAAGAGGCTGGAAATCCAAATTAAGTTTTAAAAAAAATCTAAATTGGAGTTGGCCAACAGCTAATGTGGAGGCCTTATATGGTCATAAATCTGTTCCACTGTACAGTTCTTAAAAGTAAAACATCAAAGTTGCAAAATGATCGCTCATTTATCGACTAAACATGTTTGTTTTCGTGAATTTGCAAATTATGTTCCTGTAAAAAAAAAAAAAAAATCGTAAAAAGCGTTACAAATGGGTTGGCAAGTGACCATAGATCCTCCCCATCAAAAATGTCAAAGGAACTGATGTGCTAAAATGATGAAGCTGACCATTTGTGCACTAAAGTTGAAATATGTTGACTTCTTATTGGGCTGATGAATGGCAACATGCAAATGTGGTCATGATGGGGGAGGAAAGAAAAAAAAAAGGATCCTCCCAGATGAAAACCTGCAGGTGCACACATGTATCAGAGCTCTAAAACCAACCAAAAAATGATGACGCTGTCAAATTGAGTGTCAAAATTGAAAAATACATCTTTTCACGAGGTCGAAATGCAAATGACGTCATTGCAACTGTGCAAAAAAAAAAAACATGCGTGAGGCCGCGTATCCGCTCCACCATACCATTCAAAAAAACCCCGATGAAACTTCAAAGGCTTGCTATCGTGTAGAATAATCACAATGGCAACAGTTAACGTCGGATGCAGTTTAGCACGGGCCTCAAAATGGTCCCTGATGGGGGGGGGGGCTAGGTGGGGGGTACAAGGGGCTCCCCGTGCAACCCTGCTGGCTTTTGGAGAAAATTTGTCGCTTTTTTTTTTTTTTCTTTGTGGTGTATCGAGCTGAGAGGTGCAGAAATGCGCAAATGCGCTCCGGTTGTGTGAGCAGCTGCCAGGCCACATTCGCAATGCCGGCGCGTTGCCGTTCCCTTGCACGTGCACGCGCAGTCACTGCAACCCCTCGCATCCGTGTTATGTCAGCCACCCCGTTAGCGAGTGAGTTTTCCACTTTTGAGTGATTGTTCTTTTCTTTCCAATCTAAAAAGGTTTGTTTTTTTTTCGTCTCGGGGCCAAAAAAAATGGAGAGTTGTACGTTTGCATGACGTCTTTATTCATTCCGTTCGTCTCCATCTAATAATAAACTTTGAACTGTTTATTTGCTAATGTTAAGTGGGTTTTGTACAAAAAGACAAAGAAAAAACGGACAATCAGACGCGAGCAGTCCACGTGTTCCCGAGTCATTTGTCTCCTTTTCCCCCCGCGCGTGGATTTGAATGACTTTCGTGTTTTTAGTTTCTTTGTTTGTTTTTCTGCGTCCCTACCGCGCGTGCGACGGGCTCGACAGGGGGTTCAGTGCCGGCTGGCCCCCCGGTCCGAGGCCGTGGATGAGCACGCGGGGCACCAGCGGCCTCTGGATGCCCGCGGCCGCCGCCGCCGCC